CCCCCTAGCTTGCAGCACTTTTTATTCAGTACGTGGGGAAACAGATGTAACAAGTGAAAATGCAGAGTTCAGTACTTTACATTGGGATAAACAAGGTGTAACAAGACTGGGGGGCAGTGGAAATCTGAGAACAATGAGGAACTATGCAGATGAAGATTTGGTTCCTCCCAGGGTGTCTCCTGAAGGTGTGGTCTGGTTCTGGAGCATTACAGCATCTGGGGATCACAGAGGTCTCAGTTATGACCCGAGGCCAAAATGCAACTACGTCTGGAATGTCATAGCTGGCCTGTAGGCAGGAGAGCTAGGCCTACTCAAATGATTTTTCCCTAGAATTATGTAGCATTGCTCCCAACAAAAGTAGACTCCTTTTTATCCTGATTTGGGCCCAAGGAGGGAGAGTTCAAGCTTGGAGAGCGGAGCAGCTCGGAAGCACTCACCGCCCAAGTGAAACAGCAGGGCAAAAGTCCCCTTGATTTTCACACGCCCACACCCACACACGCACACTCACCCACACATCCCAGGCAGGGGTCTGAGGCCACCCAGGGCCATCAGCGTGATGGGCAGGCTGACTCTCACCTGCTCTGGGCTGTCCTGTGCCACCTTAGTTATCTTTGCGTTCCTTCCCCAGAGGCGCCCGGGGGTGACAGCTGTCCCAGAGTGTCCACGTGTGGGCAAGGCCCCCACTCCACCATCTCCTGTGGCCTGAGCCTAGGCAATTTGGGAAACAACACGACCACATAGTCCTCATGTGTCAGTCTCTGCACGAGTAACTGGACCGCGCCAGCTTCCGGGGCTCCAAGTTCTGTTTGGTCTGTTGGTCCATTGTCAAGGAAGTGAGGTCACTTCCTGGGTCCCTTCCTGGCTCGCCCTCTCTAAGCTGCATCTGCAGTCATCCCAGACTGCTGGCTGCTCCTTCCCAACCAGCATGTGCCAAACTGGATGCACATGGCCCAACCCACCCTATGCTACTGTTTGCACACATCCGCAGCTCAGCCAGCTCCTGGTGGGCAGAGACCCCTGGTTTAAGAACCAGGCCCTCCCGCTCAGTGTTCCAGTTCTGAGGGCTTGTGGTCAAGGATTAGAGTGAGGTTTGGTTGAGGGTTGGGGAGAAGGGTTCAGCTTCGGGGCAGTGCTATGTGTAGGGCTCTTGTGAGGCTTAGGGTGAACGTCAGGGCACGGTCTCGAAGTAGGTTTGAGTGGTTATTTTGTGCATTGGCTTAGGAAGCTGGGGTCAGCTTAGGTTAAGACTTTATGTTAAGGCTGGGGATTTAGCTCAATGGGGCCACCACCTGCCTTGCAATCGGAAGGTCCTGAGATTGATTTCCAGTACCCCCCCCCCAAAAAAAAGACTTTATGGTAAGGTTCAGGTTAGGGTTATGTGTCTTGTAAGGGTTCGTGTCAGGGCTAGGTCTGTTAGGATTTGTTCATGCTAATTTTAGGGCTAGGGTTTTGGTTAGTGGCCATGTTGTATAGGATTTTCATCACTAAGTACATTGATAATCAAAGTATACTGGAATGTGAGGGAATGTGGGGCTAGGAGTTGGGACAGCTTTAGTGTGGAGGTGAAGCTCAGGGTGAGGATTAGGGTTGGTTTGAGGGTTAAGGTGAGGTTTGGTGATGGGCTAAGTTTGAGTGTTGGGTTTAGAGTGAGAGTAAGACTTACAGTGCAGATTAAGGTTAGGGTTAGGGTTGCTGCTAGAGTTTAGGTTCAGCGTTCTAGTTTAGGGATAGTGTTAGGGTTTCAGGTTAGGGTAATGTTTAGGTTTTACTGTTGGGGTTTGTGGTTAGGATTAAGGTAGGTTTGGGTATTAGGGTTAGAGTTTATGTTAGGTTAAGTTTTAGGGCCAGGGTAGGGGTTAGGGGTATGATTGGGGTTGGGGTTCTTGTTGGACTTGGGTTGTTATTGGTGCTGCAGTCAGGGTTGGTGTTAAATGTTGGGGGTTAGGATTAGAGTTTGTTGTTAGGGTTAGTGGATATGTTTAGGGTTTAGCCTTAGGGTGAGTGCGAGTGTTACCTTTAAGTGTTGGGGTGAGCATGAGATTTATGGTGAAGATTAGGGGTAGGATGAGGATTAGGATGTGAGTTAGGGTTTAGGTAAGGGTTGGGGTTAGGTTCAGGGTGAGTTTCAAGGTTAGAGGTAGTTGTTAGAGTTTTGGTTTGAGTTAGAGTTAGATTTAATGTTATGGTATGGTTTCTTTTAGACTTAGGGTTTAGGTTATGTTCAAGGGGGTAGGTTTAAGATTAGGTTTAGTTTAATGAGTCAGTGTTAGGGTTATGGTTTAGAGTTAGGGTCAAGGTTTAGGTTTTAGTTTAGAGATAGATTTATAGGTCAGTGTTAAGGTTAAAATTAGGTATCAGGAAATCCTACCTATAATAATGAATTTAGCAGTGTCTTTCCTTTTTCAATTTTATGAATATTTGGAGGATTTGGGGCATTAGTTCTTACATGGCATTAGTTTTTACTAACTTAGTCTCAATTGTATTG